GTATAATCATTACAATCTGTATAAACAATTAACATTAACATTTTTTATGTATATGCAATAAACATTGAATTTAATATATATACGCAGTATTCATTATGACGGTAACTCTTTTTTTGATACATATTGTTATAGTATTAATTTAGTCAATATTCAATACCTATATGATAAATACACATTATATTTTATAGTTTGATATCTAAATAAATGCCTTTATCTATATCGTATAGACTAATCTAATGAAATAAACTAATTCGTATATCATTAAATTTTACAAATTGTATTAAGTTATTTTGAAAAGTGACTAACGCAAAACTTATTACTTAGTACTAACGGTACCTACCGTCTTCTTTTTGACCCAGTCTTGTATTCCTCGTAGTCACGTCGTCATGGTATAATGCTCAGTAGAAGATTTAATTATGCCAAGTAGTGCACTACTGAATCTTATTTTTTTTTCTTAATTTAAAATAACATTATTACTTCTCAGCTTATTGGTATAGGTTTGGTGCTTAAAAACAATTTTCTTTCCATATTTTTTTACTAAAGTTATTTGTTTTCTATTTAATAAAAAAAGGAAAAGTAGGTTTCCAGATTAAATTGCTTACGAACAATGGAACTATATACCTTGCAAATAGACATCAATATGCCAGACCGACGATGACCAATGTACTTTTTTGTTGATATATCGTGCATACTATTACAAAGCCGTTATATAGAAATATAGAAGCCGATAGGTATACTCATACATTTCGATGTCAAATGACTGTTGAATCCGACACACCTAATAATAAAATTATAAAAAACTATTACTTTTGTGTGTAGAAATTGTATTCCTATCGTCAATAAATCATGCTCAATCATAATATATTTCCATTATAATGATTGATACGTAAACTATGTGAAATGTGCATTTTCAATATGTATGTATATGATCATATATAAAATAGGCCACCATTAGATCATATTCGTCTGCACAATAATACGGAATAAAGGTAATAATATGGTCAATATAGAATCGTAAGGTTTCAAAATTTGATCTAAAGTAGGTACGAATATTTATATATTCTTATACATAGCTTCATTTAGTGCCGATATATAAGTACTCAATTTTCAGGCATGCCAAAAGAGTATCTTTATTGACTTAAAAATTAAGTGTGTATGATTTTTTTATTGGTTATTTTGTAAATGCGCTTCTTTCTAATCTTTATTCTGGAAATTGATTCCTAATTTGATAAGGTTACTTTACGAATTATTGAAAAAACAACGAAAAAGAAAATGAAATATGTATACCAAATATTTAACTTAAATTTACTCAGTTTTGACTTAGCCTCATAGAGGTACTTCAACTACTAACATTCACTATAATTTAATGATATTCAAATATAAAATATAAATATAAATGTTTAATATTTATATATATAATAATATTTTTCATTTGGAATTTTATTGAAAGTATATTTGTTTCATTTTTAATGTATTCCTAGTGTATAGCCTTTATTAGTTATTAATTGTTGTACCTATAGGAGTTGATAATTTAAAATAATTTTGATTCATAATATTTTATTTATTTTAGTTTATTCATTTTCATTTTAGTCTATTTTCATTGCTATCTCTCTCATTCCGAGAGTCATAGCTGTTGTACATCAACCACAAACATTTTCATCAACAGATTCGTCCACAATTGATTCTGGACAAGAACCTCCCGAAGGTTATTATGCTTTTATCGAAGCTCCAAGAATGGAACCACCTCAAGTTCGTTCTCCACCTTACTTCAAATCTAACAAATTGTGTCCGGGTAAATATTATACACTAATTATTGTAATTATTTATTGTAACATTTTGGCTGTAGGTACCTGTAGCACGAACTATTATAATTCACACGATTATGTAGTCACGAATTTAGCTAAAACAATTGTGATTTTAAACTGTACTTGCATAGGTACATTTAAATTTAACCATTGTCGTAAATAGTTTATCAAACAACAATATAAAACAAAGCATAAAATGACACTATTCATTTAATATAGGGGTCAACAAGAATCCATCGGCAAAAACATTGAATAACTTATGCGGAGATCTCAATAAAGGGTTTTTGCCAGTGAACCCAATGAAACAAAACGTTTTAGGATCACCATACCCGTTGTGAGTGTTACGCTTATAATTTCAATGACAATTGAATGTTTTACTTTTATTTCTGCGTATGGCCGCATTCATCATTTCCAACGTATCTATGTGTATTATTTGAGAATATAATGATAACCTMTTTTAGTGAGTTAGTGAAGAATAAAACATTGGAATTCTTCAGCAGAACATTGCCAATACTCAAAGCGGATGAAACTATACCAAAAGTAGCCAAATATGTGCCACCCGATTCGTATTACCAAAGTAGCACGACCCAAAAATACTTACAGTAAGCTAATGTACAATAATCATAAAGATATTCTTATGGGCACACAGCCGAAGGGGTGTTTCTTAGTAAAAAAAAAAATATAATAGCAAATAAKAATAAGAATAATAAGAATAGTAATATAAACATTCAACATTAATATAAAATATGCCTATTCATAATTTGTTTAGAGGAAAACCTTTTCGGCGAAGAGCCAAGTATAACAATCCAGATTCTCTTGATGATGTAAACATGGATGACGATGAGGATATACCTTTAAGTTCTCAAAATAGTACTAGACATTCAAGAAAATTTTGTGATACCAGCGGTGGAGTGTAAGTTAAATTGAAATATTATTTGTATTAAAATTACATTTTGTTTATCATTTTTATTAAATGTGGTTATTATATTAATATTACTGAGAATACATAATTACAGTAAAAAATAAAAATATTATTTTAATAAAAACATTGACAAATAATGAAGTATAATATGATATAGATGAAAAATTAATAGAAAATACAAA